TCTTTCCTACTCCCAAAATATCATCTTACTGAAATTATGTAAGAACTATAAAAAATAGGTGGTCGAAGTGCTAGATATATGTAAAAGAATAAAGATATGATCCAAAACAGTTAATGTCTATGGAAAAGTTAATTTACTCATCAGTAACACCTGTGCTGCTTACCTCGTGGTGCTACTAGGTGAATAACAGCATCGGAAGACTGTAAAGCACGAAACGGATATGAGCGGAACTTTCTGAGAGCATGGGCTGGTTTTCTCAGTTTTGACTTCCTGACACTGTGATAATTCACCTACCAAGCGGGTGGACTTTCCAGTTAAGTACTACGTACAGAATGAGCCCATCCTTTCCCTTCCAGATTTAGCTTCACATCAGGCCTTACTGCCAAAGTTTAGCAAACTTATCTTGGGGCATGATACTCCTCAGTAGACAAGACTTACCTGTGTCGGAATGATACTCAGCGCTAATGCCATTATCTGAAATTTGGTGCCAAGCTAGGCTTCCATTATGGGAAGGCTGAGCATATAGCCATTAACCCTCTAAGGTACTATCAAAATCACTTAATTATTTAGCTCTGTAAAGGTAGGACTGCTGCTAAATATACTCCATAGTAACCCCAGGGTGTTCACAGAAAAGTTCTATTAGAAGTAAATGTCGACAGATGTCAAGATTCCATTTTCAAAGTTTATGAGAGTTTTATAGACCCTCACTATAACCCTAGCTTTGGTCACCTTCCAACTTAAAATGTTGCGGAACTTCTTGTCATTTGTGTCTTTCTTATTGAGTGCTGTGTCTTATGACTTGGTCTCAGTCTCTCCATTACAAGACCCAGGCTCTGGTGCAACCATTGCCTGCAAGGTGAGCAATTACCCAGGTAGAAAGCAATATATCATCTCTTCTCAAAGTATTTTTGTTTATAGTCACTTAAATTGCAGAAAAATGGACTATCAGCCCTTAAAACCTTAACTCTGTGCATATTTTTCATACAGTCAATAAGCATGAAAGATGTCAAAATAGAAGCAAAATATCAAGCTCATTTTTTTTCCTTAAGATAAGAAACTGTATGTGCACTGAACACTGCCTGCTTTGGAAGCTGGTAGAATCTTAAATAAACTCTTAATGATTCAGGTTCATACAATGAATGCATTTGTCTTGAAATATGGACTTGTGTTCCTATGTCAACCATCAATTTGAGAACTACCACAAGTCCTTAACAACGTTCCCCCCGCTTCACCCCCCCTCCCCCCAATAAACAAGAACCCAACTCAACAGATAGCTTTTCTGCCTGGTTTTATTTTATTAGCGTAATAGCATTGTGGCAATGATTCACTCAGTGGTTTATTGGTGCTGTAGTTAGATTTTGTTCGTGATATGGTAATTTGCAAACTGAGCATCTTTGGCTTTCTGTAGCGGTATGAAAGCTACCAACTGACTCAGTCATTCTCCATTTAGTAAAAGTCAACTTCCCCTGGCTTCATGCATTTTTCCAGGTGGTGAAGAGGAGTCGAGTTTTCTATTTTCACCCATAGGTGATAAGAAATGGCTGGCTGCTCTTTAGAGAATTTTTATTTCAGTGTGCATGCTTGCAGCTGTGAATCATAGCTCAGAAAATAGGAAATCATTTTGTGATGGTTCCTATTAGCAAGTGTCCAACAGTGGCTGTAATTAATTCAATGGTTCCTTCCCTTTAAAGGTGACCAGATAACCCATAACTAGCCAGTTTGCTTTCTCAGATAAAGGCTTTTCATTTTTCTTTTAACTTTCCACAGTCTCTCAAATCAGCTTTGCTCTCGTCTTCCTTTCAATGCTGTGTACCTGAACCAAAGACTATTATATGGTCTGAAAGCTTTGAACATCAGTGCTGTGATCAGCCAGTAAAGCAGTCCAATTTCCACTTTGTTCAAACAGTGCTTTCCTGTCTTGTCTGGGAAACTGTCTGCCAATTCATTTTTCTCTTATCAGCAAAACACATATATGCTGTGCTCACGTTGCTTAATATAAAACACAGGGAAGATCCCTGAACAATCAGGAGACAAGTTAGAAAAACTGCCCAGGCTCTGCTGTCATCCCAAAGCACACTGTTTTGTTTGCCATCAAATGAGAAAACAAATCGACAGAGCACTGATTTTATAGATGCCAGTTATTGCAACTTATTAGGCTTTCATAATGGCCTTCTTTAAATTGAGAATGTTTATCATACACTCATCTTAGAAATCATTTCCCTCCCCAGCATCTGCCAACCCCCAGATCTGGTTTACATACAGGTAGTCTTGGACAATAGCAGCTAATTCACATTGGAGGAATTCTTGGCGAAGCTGTAGGACTTTAACCTCGAACCCCTTTCAAGACACTCTGACCAAACATGGCACAGTAAAGCTTTAATATCTGTCATGGGCAAGGCTATTGAATACCCAAAAAGGTATGACATCTTTCAATCATTGCTTTTTTTACTTATACTTTTCCTGGGGAAGCAACATCTTTTATTTTCTATAGTTACCCAGCAGTAGAGAACATGAGAGCAGTGAAAGGCAAATGTCATTATAACTCTGCTCCTAGTACTTTAAATTTTATTTCTAAATTTTGAAGGTTTTAAAAGGGTCCAAAGCATGGGCTACTTTCTTTAAGACTCTGCTTTATTTCTTGGCTTCTTTGTTTTGTCCTTTGTATTCACTGAAGTTGGGATAGTGAGGTGCAAGGATGGGGTCAAAAGGAGAGAACATACACGTATATTCGCTTACTTCTGCATTGGTGGCTTCATCAAGCACATTCACCCAGGTGCATTTCTCTAGCAGCTACTATATTCCCAGTATGTTGCTGAGCTGTACAAACAAAAGTTTCAATTTCATAGGTAAGGGCATGAGATAGTGCACATGGAGTCTCATTCTGATTCCACCAATTACTAGCTTTGTGACTTTGAGTGTGTAACTTAGCCTCTCTCTTTCCTTATCTATAAACAAAATTAGTAGTGTACCTAATAGTGTTGCGGTGAAGTCTGAATAATTTGATATTTGCAAAGTCATTTATAAAATGCATGGCAATAATGTTAGTGATTGTTTTTGCTATTCTTGCCCTCAAAGCACTAATAATCCAATTACTAGAGAGAATGCATAATGAATCATGCGAAATTATGTGATATTTATTGTAAGTGCAGCAGTATCATAGGAGAAACATATAACAATGTAATTAGCTATCGAAACTGTCATTTGGACTAGCTTTACCAATATCAAATACTTTTGAGTTTTTGTGACTCACTCACGAACTCCCTTAGGATATTCTTTTTCTCCCTAATTTTGTCCTCATAAATATTCTCTCAAAGCTCAGCTATGAATGGGACTCTATGTTCCACTCTTTGTTAGAGTCCAGGTTCCCTATCTTGATTGAACATTGAACAAAGGCAGTGATTTATTCTTCTCATCGAAACTACCGTAGGACAGCATGGCTAAGTGCTGAAGAAATGGGCACAATGACTATGATGCATGAGTACTGAGGACTCTAGGCCGATTTTTCCTGGTAGATGGTTTATGATTTGAAATAGATAATTTGAGGATGAGAAAATTTCTGAGAATATAATCCATTGTAAAGAATGGTGGGAATGCTATGAAAAGTTATGCAGATGTGAAAACAAGATTTTACTTCTAACCTTCATCCAGGACCAACATATATGAAGCAATGTGTATTAGGTCCCCACTGTAGTTCCCGCATGGGGACACAAAAGGAAATCATAGGCATGTTGTAGAGGCATTAGGTCAGAGTGTTCTAGGAGCCTAAAGGAAAAAGCCCTGCTCCCAGATCTAAGGCACCAGAAGACCCTGGACAAGGCACTTAGCCTCCTTACAATCTCAGTTCTCTAATCTGTAAAATGGAAATAAGGATACCTCGTCTACTATGTGACAAGGTTTGAGGGCAAAAGAAATAGCACACCTATGCAAATTCTTTGAAAACTGTAAAATGCTACATAATTATATGGTGCTGCTATGCCAGAGTTTAGAGACTAAGAGGAAAATAGAACAAAATCAAAAGTGAAGTCTAACAGGAACCTAAGAATATAAAGAAGAGAAGCAATCAAACCGACCATATAGTATATGTGAAAACAAGTATGTAATTTTTCAAGTATTTATCATGTGATGACTTTGACTTCAGTGAAGGCCACAGCAGGGGAGAAGAGTTAGCTTCTATTTAAACATACTAATTCAAAAATATATGTTTAAACTTAGTAATTAAAAAAATTAATGATAGACTTTATTAATTTAAAAATGCTGTAACAATACACAGGCATTAATGTACAAAGATTTTAATAGAGCTTAATCTGTTTTGAATTATAAAAGGTATTATATACTAATAAATATGTAAGAACATAGACACATTTTCATTTGCTTATGGCTGCTAATGACCTTTATTAGAGCAAAATATTTTACATCAACCAAAATTTTAGCCATACCAGTATATTATGTTCTTGACTTTATTCATTGTGCTACCTACCAAAATAATAATATGCTCTGTAATGTTACTTTTCCATAATATATGTTTTGGGCAGAAGAATATAACAATATTTGGGATAGCACCTGGGACAAAGCAGGCCTTTAGAAAGCTGTCAATAAATACCTGCTAGGATACCTGAGGTCATCTAGGTACTACACATAGGTAATGCAGGAGGCATTACTGTGTGATCAGTTGATCCCTCTATTTCAAGGATTTGATGATTGTAAAAATACTTAAAATATTCTAATAGTGAGCCCATAGTTTTTACTGGATTCTCAAAAGGTTAATAACCAGTTGTCGCAAAGAGAATAAGTGATGTCTGTTGAGTTATACTCCAGGAGATTTCTAACAAGAATATGCTTCTTGTCCTAGGTATTAAAGTTTGAGCCTGGCTACTTCAGGAGGAGGGGCAGAGCAAAGCACATGGCTCTCGTTGACATCCAGTTGGATCACCACGAGCGGTGTGATTGTATCTGCAGCTCCAGACCACCTCGATAAAAGAATGTGCACATACTTACATTAAGCATGAAGAAACCTTTAGTTTAAGAAGGGTGTGGTAAGAGACCCTTTTCCTGCCAGCAACCGAACTTATTACTATCCTGCAAAGCAATGAATACAAGTGGTTGCTGAGTTTCAGCCTAGCTTTGTTAGTGCCATGGCAAATAGAAAGGTGTATCATCAACCTCTATATCCAAGAATATAGGATTGCATTTAATAATAGTCTCTGAGGATATATCCATGTCTACATGTAAATAGATCATCTGGTTTATTCAGTATATATAACCAGGTACACCAGAGCTTACATAACGTTGAGTTATTTAGACCCTTAAAATCTTTTGACAAAATAAGGGATAAGTAAATTCATGAAACATGTCTTTGGAATATTTGGAAGATTAATTTATTTTTAAATTTTGAATCACAAAACAATTTTGGATCTTGCTCTTTTAAAGAAAGCACCTTGTGTATTAAAAACCAACAGATGAGCTTTTCTTATGGATACATCTTAATTATATAAAAGGAAAATAAGGAAAAGGCACAAACCAAACTATTTTTTCCCATGAGATACACTACATACTTACCTATGTAGACAGTAATTACCTGCCTCCAAAAGCATGCCATGATAACATAGGTGCTTTAGAAATTAAGCCATTAAATCCTCTTTTTATGCATCTTGCTGAGGTATGCAAATTCATTTAACACCAGTCAGAAAAAAATTTCTCAGAAGGTTTCTTATTATAATCCTACACAAGACAATTTATAAACTATAGCAGAAGTTTGAATTCTTTCTTTCCAAAAACCCCTCCACAGAAGTAAGTCCTTTGGAGAATGACATTGGGACTCTGTATGAGCCCTTCAAAATAGTGTTCATCGAAAGATTTGGGCAATTAAAAGTAAAAAAAGTAAGCATGGAAGTAGTAACACAACTGGAAATTGGATGGAACATTTGATAGGGTCCATATTTAATAATGGATTCAAATTCTTTAAACTGTGCTAATTGATTTTATGTATTTTACTTTTGTGTTCCTGTCTTTTTGCTATACAGACATGGATTTACAATGGCATTTTTCTGTTTGGCAAACCATCATGGATTATTTATAGCCTAAAAGCTTTTGCGTATTAAAACAATTCAGATTTGGTGATGTAAACCCCTATCATATACTCACCCACCATTCTGAATTTCTGTTTCTGAATTAAGTGAAATCAGATCTGGGGTCTCTAGTTCTTTTACAGATCTGTGGAGCATGTTCTAAGAAGTCATGGTGCAAATTATGGGAGAACAAGTTTGGCCCTGCTCACCACTATTTTTTTTTATTTGCATTAGGAGTTATTATTGGTATATAGATTAATTTTTTTCTCTCTGGCTCCTTCATGTCTATTTTAAAGAAGACTGACTCCAGGAGTAGGAAGTGATTCATCATCCTCCAAAGCAAGACTCTTAAGAGAGCAACACTGAAATGAAGATAGGTCAGGGGCTGCTCAGAAAGAACTATATTTTTCTTTCTGCCTTGAAAGAAAAAAGGAGAGCCGATTTCTTCTGTGAGTCCTGGGCCTTACTGACTAAAACCATTTGAGTGAGAGGTATGTGACAGGAACTCATTAAGTCTCTGTGTCAGATGAGTGGCCTAAATATACTTGGATTTCTAAGCATGGTGCTTTCGGGACCAAATTCTCAACTGTCCTTAGCTCATTTCCTCTCAGCTCTTTGAGATGAAAAGCTAGTGCTTATTAAAGATATACCTTCAAAATTTCCCTAAAAGTGTCTGGTGTTTTTACTTCAAGGGGCGAGTGGTAAAATTAAATACTCCATTGTTCAGTTGTTCAAAATCCCAGAGCACAATCAGAAATAGCTGAGCTAATAATCAGGAACCACTCTTCCTCTTTATGACCATTTGCAAGTTTCCTATGAAAATATAGGATTCCTGTACCAAAATAAAAATGTGCCGTATCACACTAGCTTATTCAGCTTACATCATATCTGTGAGTATGAAAAATTAGAGTGTTCTACCTAATTTTCAATAAACTTTCCAGGCTGCAATACCCAGGATGGTTTTCAGTTAAAGCCCTACCTGTACTTTTTATTTATTAGCTGAAATGTAAGCAGGCATATTCATTCACTTTTCTTTTTTCTTTCTTGAGTGTTTTATTAAAACTTCTCCCTTGGTTATCTGTTATCTATTGTATTTCCAACATGTAGCCAATAAATCTGTTTCATTGCCATCAAAGGAATAAAAGCTCACTATACAAATTACATTTCAAAACAAACCCTAGTAAATCTGCATTTCTGTGTGGCTCATTCACCTGAGACAATGCTTTTCATTCAATACATTCTTATAGGGCAGAACACTTTCATAAGTAGAATTATTTTTTTCTATATCGGTAACATGCACCCTTTCCCTCACATAGCATTTTCTATAGCAAATGTAATATGCCTCTTATATTCATGAAAAATAAATGTTGCTTTTGAACAAAACTACTCTATTATTTAGTATTCAACTGCAGCCTTAAAAGGTGTACAGTGTTGCAAACTTGCTTTTACAAATGCATGCAGCTGTTCAGAGTGACAAGTTGGGGAGATTTCTGAGGGCTTGGTTTTAGAATGTAGAAAGAGCACAAACCTTGTTCCCTGACAATGGGATTCTACTCTATCCCCGTCCCGATCCCCGGCACCGGGGATGGGACTTGGGTTTTGTTGTTCTCTTGCCTCTGTTGTTGCTTTTTTGTTTGACTGCGTGTTCCCTCTCAGGGCTTTTAATGAAATATATTCTCCTCTGCCATTGCTCACTTAAGAGAGTTCACAGCCAATTTCTTCCTTGGGGGGCTGAAATTAATAACGTCACAGACAATTTCCCTTTCTCTGCCCTTCCTTGCACCTTTTCCTGTCTAGGTGAACATTCCAGCTGGTAGGTCAGTGTTATCTGTTCAGGAAGACCAGTTTAAGGGCTACATTCCTATAGAATTTGGTTTGTAATTTGGGTTGGTGGGGTTGGGGCAAAGAGAGCTCTTCTTGCAGCAAGAACTCCTGCTTTTGCTTGTAGCTTAGTCTTTATCATTATGCTACCAGAGACAGGACAGCACTACATAGTGTTGAGTGAAATTCTGCCACTTTATGTAGTTTAGTGGTTTTAGGTTGTTTGGGAAAGGGAGTAGAAACATATGTGGCAAGAATCAGTTGTACCATTGGAAATACCAGCTAATGCGTGAGTCAAAGTGTGGGGGACAGACAGGGAAAGGATCGAGTATGCTGTGCATAGTAGTTAATTCAGATAGCTTGGATTTTTATATAAGAAAAAATCATAGCAGATATATATATGAGATATATATATGTATATATATATCTCATATATATATCAACAGTATTTTGGTACAAATACATTAAGAATTTTATTTCAGTTCCTAAAATGTGTATGTGTCCAGTTTTAAGAATAACTTAACAGATGTTCAACTTGTTCACATTCTCCTAGGGTCTTCTGGTAGAACATTAAATTAAAATTCATATATTTGTATTCATGCCTGAAATCCTAGGAAATGCAATTTTATTTATGGACAGCTTTGGTTAAATATGTTGGAAGAGAGGATATTTATAATTCACTGGATTTATTGACATTCATTTAAATTCTGTTGTTTTTAAAGATAGGTTAAAGACTATACAGGCCTTGAGAATTTAACATAACACACTGGGATAGCTCCCAATTATAATAGTTGGACATGGACAAGGGATAAGCAACTAACAGCTTAATTTAAAACGTTATGCTTGGTGTTCATGTTATAGTTTTGAATTTGCAAGTTAATTTGTATCTTTAAAAATAAATTTTATTTCTATAGAGATCTCTAAAACATTTTTAGCAGATCACATTAGATGAGAGTGGAGCTGAGTCCATAATAAAGGTTAATGTACTCGGCAAGCAAGTTATGGGCCAAGAAATCTTCATTTTCTAATAAAACCATCTGGCTTTTTAATTATTTTAAGTTGTTGTATATTGTTTGCCAGCTTTAGTGGCCAGGAACCAAATGTTAAAATTAATCTTGGATTCAATTTGTATTTTAAATAATACCTATAATATAAATTCTCCTTTAAGAACTAAAGTCTAGGCCATATTCTCTAACCTCTATCTTTGGTCAAGGACATATTACAAATTCATTCTTTTCTAGAATCTTCTAGCCTTTCCTCTTCTCTCTGTTATTTCCACATTTCTTCTTTCACTCATCTCTAACCACCAGTCTTGAAGTCAGAGAGTATCAGGATCAATGTCTACTTTGGAAAGTTTCAAGAGCTCATTTCAGGAGATCAGAAGATCAAATGTCCCATTTCCCAAATGAGCAATTAATAGGCTAAAATTGCCAGCTATTAAGAGATCACTGCTTTTCAAGAGTTAAACACATTAAGTCAATATTTCCCAATATTTTCTATTTTGGTACGAACTTCTGAATATTGGTGGGTATTTACTGACTTCTATCAAAGAAAACTTAGCCACATTCAATACAGGGATAACTGATTAAATTAAATGTTTCATTTATTCATTCAACAACAAAATGTATTAAAATACATTATAAATTAGACATGCTTTGGGGTTCAAAACACAAGGTGCTCACAGAGGACGAAACTAGAGAAAAATGTTCTAGGTGGGATAAACAAAAAGAACAAAGAATCCTCCAGAAAAATACATAAGGTGAATGTAAGGAGTTCAAAGACCAGAGAGTAAAGTGGCAGAAAGGGAAGGAATCTATAGGGGAACAATTGGTAATATGTTTGGAAAGGTAGATAAGCACCTGATTCCACTAAGTCTCCTGTGGATGTCTAGCAAAGGATTCTTTGTCTTTTACATGTAGGAGAGGAAGCCACAAGGGTTTCTGAGCATAGTGAGGGCTGTAAGATAGAAGGCCTTAGGTTTAGTGACAGTTCTGCCATTTTCTGTACTTATTTCTTCATTTACAAAATCAGAAGGGTAAGATGTTCTATCATTGCAGAAATGTAGCAAAATCAGACCGGCAGGAAACCAAGCACCACTCAAATAGTTGGAGAACTCAGGTTTATTATGCCAGCATTCCCAGAAGAGCTAGCACTCTGAAGATCTGGGCCCCGAGCTCAGATGCAACCTTGCTTTTATAGGGCCTCTCCGTGCAGTTACATTTGGCCAGTTGGCATAGGCCAATTGATTAATTTGTCCTCAGGCAGTTACAGAGTTACAAAGCGTGAGATTTTCAGAGAGGAACTCAGGCAATAGATCTGTTATCCAGACAGAACAAGCAAAAGGGAGAATGAATCTTTATTTAATTTTGAAGTCACCTTGTCCTTCAGTCTATGTGGCACACATATTTACAGAAGCAGAACAAAGAGCTGATTATAAGGTTAGCCTTTTAAATGGAAAATTCTTCTTCACTATAGGTCCTTTTCAACAAAACAATTCCGCAATTTTGGAAAATGGCAATCTGCAGGAAGGATGGGGGTAGGGATATGAATTGGGAAGCTCCTCAAAGTTCTAGGGGTGAGATAATAAGGACAGAAATGAGACCTGAGACACAGGCAGGATATAGGCCCCCTGTGGTTGGGCAGACTGTGCATTGCAAATCTCTAGGAGGTGCTATTGGCACAGAGTAAGACTGTAAGAAAGATTAACAAAAATTGAGAGCCCAGAAGTAAACCCCCTTTTATATGGGCAAATAATTTCCAACAAAAGAGCCAAAAACATACAGTGGAGAAAGGAAAGCCCCTTCAATAAATGGTACTGGGAAAACTGGAAAACCACGTGCAAAAGAACGAAACTAGACTGTTACCTATCACCACACACCAGAATTAACTCAAAATGAATTAAGGACCTGAATATAAGACTGGAATCAATAAAATGCATAGAAGAAAACATAGGAACTAAACTCAAGGACCTTGGACTTAAAGAGGATTTTATGGATTTGACCTCAAAGGCAAAGGAAGTAAAAGCAAAAATAAATGAATAAGACTACTTCAAAGTAAAAAGCTTCTGCTCAGCAAAAGAAATCGTCAACAAGGTAAAGAGACAACCATCTCAATGGGAAAATATATTTGCAAACAATGCCTCCGATAAGGGCCTAATATCCGAAATATATGAAGAACTCATACAACTCAATAACAACAACAACAACAAAAAATTAATAAAAAAATGAGCAGAGGACCTGAACAGACACTTCTCCCAAGAAGACATACAAATGGCCAACAAACATATGAAAAGATGCTCAATACCACTAGCTTTTAGGGAAATGCAAATTAAAGCCACAATGAGGTACCATCTCACACCTGTTAGAATATCTATAATCAGGACAAATAATAACAAATGTTGGAGAAGATAGCAGAAAAAGAAACCCTCATACACTGCTGGTATGACTGAAAATTGGTACAGCCACTATGGAAAACAGTATGGAGGTTCCTCAAAACACTAAGAATTAATCTACCATATGATCCAGCAATCTCTCTACTGGGTATTTGCCCACAAAGACTTGAAAACCCATATCAGAAAAAATATTTGCACACAGATGTTCATAGCAGCATTATTCATGGTGTCCAGGACATGGAAGCAACTGAAGTGTTCTACGAGAGAAGACTGGCTAAAGAAGCTGTGGTACATATATACAATGGAATATTACTCAGCCATAAGAAGAGATGAAATACTGTCGTTTGCAACAACATGGATGGACCTTGAAATAATAATGCTAAGTGAAATAAGCCAGACAGAAAAAGTTGAAAATCACATAATATCACTTATTTGTGGGATATAAACCTAAAAGCAACAAATAGACAGGGCAAACAAACAGAGACTCATGGACATGGACAATGGACTAGTGGTTACCAGAGGATGGCAGGGAAAGCGGGGAGGTAGATGGGGTAAAAGGAGTCAAATATGTGATGACAGAAAGAAATCTAACTATGGGCAATGAACACACAACATATATATATACACCTTAATAATACACCTACATATGAAATCTAACTATGGGCAATGAACACACAACATATGTATATACACCTAATTTTATACCTGAAACTTACTGGATTTCACTGACCAATGTCATCATAATAAATAAATAAAAAAATAAAAATTAAAGAAAGAAAGATTAATGAGAGGATTCAAAGGTCTTAATGACTGAGTGGGAGGTCAGTCAGCCTTCAGGGGTGTTCTGGGGGAAA